GAGAGCAGGGTGCAAGGTGTATGCAGGGTGTAGAGTAAAAGCTTCACTGTGGGGCCAAACAATGACCAATCTATCCCAAATGGGCTCATAATTATGATGATGCCTTGCTTAACCAAGACGGTGGTTTAGGCGATAGTCCACACAGGATGGTTCATGGGAAGAGAGAGGAGGGGACTTTGCCTGAGGTAGCCTTCGACAAAATCCTTACTTACACATTTATTGACAGTGTGACAGATGCTGGTGCGGGTGCGAAGCACAAGGAGAAACTTACGAAGGAAGCTCTGCTTTCCTTGAACACAGTCGTCAAGCCAAATCCAGGGAGACACAGGAGAGATTTATACCCAGACTCTGCTCGCGGAAGGCTTCGCTGAGGAGACGCCACTCAGACTTAGCTGATGTTACAACAGTAAGCAGGGGTGGAGAGCAGTGTCACAGGACAGACGGAAGCATCTCAAGTGCCACAGACCTGGAAGAAGTTCGCTATGGCTGGAGGGTGTCTAGGGAGGCAAGGCGTCTCTTAAGGTTTGCGGGATGCTACAAGTAAGTCACACATGGGCTCTGTATTCCAAGCTAAGTTGTTTGGACTTGATCCTGTAATTATCAAAGAAGACGGAGCCTTAGTTATACCAGTGGGGTGTCAGTCTTGTGAGGAACAGGTCTACAGGCGGCCCTGATGACAGGTGGGTTAGGGAGCTGCTCTCTCACTTGCCCCGTTCCATTTTGAACACAGGTGAACCCAGATGATGCTCTGTGAGCCCCAAGAGGCACCTTGAGAGAATGACTGAGCGATTGTAGTGGTGAGGAAGGGGGTTGAAGAGATTTAGGAAAACCCACAGAACCTCATTCATATAGGCAGTTGAGTGTGGCGAGCATGAGCTATGAGCGTGAACTATTCAGCTTTTTCTGCAATGTCTGCATCCAGGGGTAAGTTCCGGCCTCGCCTCATTCTTGCGTAACAAGATTTTCTCACAAGGAAAGTCTAACAAACTCTACGTTTGACTGGGTTACTTGTCCCAGAAGCCCTGAGTCTCTGGGAGGAGCCCTGAGGAGTTCGGCAAGCACAGCATCTTCAGTGTGAGACGGGATTTGAGGCAGAGAAGTGAGTACCTGCTTTGACTTGTGCGTCCTTCCTTCCTCGCAGGCCCTCAAGACCCCAGACCTTCCCTCTCACCCACGATGTAGCACACACAGTACTAGTCACACAGTACTAGTCACACAGTACTTAATCACACAGTACTAGTCACACAGTACTAGTCACACAGTACTTAATCACACAGTACTAGTCACACAGTACTAGTCACACAGTACTTAGACACACAGTACTAGTCACACAGTACTTAGTCACACAGTACTAGTCACACAGTACTAGTCACACAGTACTCAGACACACAGCACTAGTCACACAGTACTTAGACACGCAGTACTTAGACACACAGTACTAGTCACACAGTACTAGTCACACAGTACTTAGTCACACAGTACTAGTCACACAGTACTTAGTCACACAGTACTAGTCACACAGTACTTAGACACACAGTACTAGTCACACAGTACTTAGACACACAGTACTAGTCACACAGTACTTAGACACACAGTACTAGTCACACAGTACTAGTCACACAGTACTAGACACACAGCACTTAGTCACACAGTACTAGTCACACAGTACTTTGATCTACAAACGTGCTTCTACACCATTGCCCTCCTTCCAGACCTGCACCCCAGAGTCCCTGTGAATCACCCCACATTTTACGCCCTCCCTCCCTTACCAGAATCTCCATACACTTCGCTCCTACCCCGCTTCCTACCCCAGTCCTCCTGATAATGCTTGCTTTCAGGGTTATTAGCTCCCCCTGCAGGGTCCAGGCACAGGCCAGATGAAAACTATGCTCTTCCCATCTGATCGGATGCCCTGAATGGTTCTGCCCATTTGTGACAGAAGTGCTCCTGATGCTCTCTAGCCACTAGATTAAAATGAGATACAAATGTCCTTCACAACAGTAAATGGCATTGACATTCCCAAGCTTCAAGGATCAAGGATTCAAGTTCAAGGATCGGGCTCTGAGTTCTTGCTAGGCTGGGTCCCCACTATGTGTTCCTGGTCCCTTTGTCTCTCTGCATACTCATCCTAGCTCACAATTCTGCTGTCCTTTACAAACAGATGCTCAATTCCTGCCTAATCCTTCACTAGAAGTCCTGATCTCAAATTTTGATCTCTCAACCCAACAGAATGAAAACCGAGCCCACTTTCCTATTTCTGGTTGTTCAGAAGCCGCCCTTATCTTTCCCGTGTCTCCTAAAGCACCATAGTTCTTGTGCCTGTGTGTTTTCCAATGCTGGCAACCAAATATTTTATGTTCTCTGGGTTTCCTCAGAGTTTAAGCAAGGAAACTGTCTAGTCCATCAATTACTATAGACATTTTCCAGTGATCTTGACACGCCTATGTTGTCAGATTTTCTTTGGATAGCCAGCTCCCAAAAAATTACAAAGAGACTTCTTATTAATTACAAAAGCTTGGCCTCTGGCTTAGGCGTGTTTCCAACTAGATCTTATAACTGAATTAACCCATATTCTTAAATCTATAGTCTGCTGTATGCTCTCCTTAGCATGGCTCATCTGACTTACTCCAAGTCTTCTGGCAAAATTTGCCTTGCCTAGGGACTTCCTCCTCTTCCTCTCTCTCCAGGAAATCTCACCTATTTTCTCTAGCTATTGGCCAATCAGTTCTTTATTAAACCAATCAGAAGGAGCTTTGGGAGAGACATATCTTCACAGCGTACAAAAAGATTATCCCACAAAATCCCTCTTTTGTCTAAATAAAAAGGAAGGGTTTTAATTCTAACACAGTAAAACTAGATACAATAAGAACAATTGTCAGGCAAGGATTACATTTACAATGTCAAGTCCATTTTGTATTGGGCATATTTGTAGAAACTATTCCATTATCGATCCTATCTTGATAAATCTTGATAAATGGGTTAGGGTTTATACCTAACCCACTGTCTATCATAACTAGTTATACTATCTTAAAAATCTTTTAGACATTAAAACGTTTTCTTAGCTTTATAAACTTTACATCTCTTTTTTAAATTTCTTTTTTGAATTTTGTAACAAAGAAAATTGTATAACTATCTAGTATTCAACCCTTAACAGAGATCTAAGAAGGATAAAATATCACTTGAGTAAACAAGAATGCAGAGTAAGCAACTTCCAAAACTACAGAAATGACAGAGATATTTGGCTACCTGGACAGCCACCCAAGTTTCCTCTGCAATGTTGGGGCATCCATCTTTGGTCTACAGGCCTAGAATATCTGACAGACTTTTCTGTGAAGCAGAAATTTTGAAGGACTATCTTACCTTGTCTTAGTAAAGTTCAGCAGTCACATTAATTTGTGCCCTGCTTGTTCAATTTGACAACATACTGTCAGCAGTTGAGGCAAGGACAGTTTCTTGTCTGGTGGCCAACCTTTGCCACAAAGAAAGTAAACTCCATAAGGAGGTCCTTTGATGCCCATCATCCTTTTTTGAAGTAAATTGGTGTTGCCAGGAGCAGATATGTCTCACTGTCATGAAAAACCTTATGTTATTAAATGATCTTAAATGTCATATTGTATAGGTCTCTGAATGTTTGAAGACCACCTGTATATCTAAACTATATCTCTGACCTTGAAAACATACCTAACATGACTATAATTTGATTGTAGATGGCTAACTACTAACCTGCATTTCCTAATTATCATAAACAAACTTGTTATAATAACTCTCAAGGACTAGAATGTTACATTACATTTTTAAATGAGTTGTACAGGTACAATACCTTAAACAAGAGTAGAGACATATATATAATGTATAAAAAATAAACTTAATTTTGTATTAATATACAAAAATCTATACTGATGTAAAATATGAGACTAGTAGGTGCTTTTCAGTTTTAAAGGAGATCCAATAACCTACACTTTTATCTTATATCTATACTTACCCCTCTTTTTCCCTTCAGAAAGATATTCCTGAATCTAATCTCCTTTGCTTAGTTTTCTCCTTGATCATTACCAATAACAACTTGTAACTAACCCTCTGAATGATGATAAACATCCATAATCCACTGGATGACCAAAAAAAACCACCTGCCACACCACTTGGGAATGTGGGCATCATGTTTTCTAGGCTGTTTCCTGTTGTCTGAGGGTGATAGCATCATTAGGGGAATCCTAAGAAAACTGAGATAACGGTCAAGTCCTGGGAGAGATAGCTGCATCATTTGTGTCCAGTCTGTGGGCGATGGGAAAGGCAGGGCTTACATGAAGTCTTGACGGGAAAATCTGTGAGGCTGGACTATCTCAGCTAGCGGTTTTGAAGGCATTCTGAGAGGCTGCATCACCTAGGCTACTTGTATTCATTGGTGTCTGGTCTTTTTCTTTTTCTGAAAACACACAGGCTTCTAAAGATAACATAAATCACTGTATTAATATAAATATGGATTGTGTGGTGTGTCCAAATCAGCTAAAGATGATTATTTTTTGTTTTATGTTTGAGCAGGTAAAAGGCATCTGTTAACTTTATAAGTCTGTTTGGACTGTATAACCAAACCTCTATCCATACCATATGAAAAGATGTCATGTAATAATAAGTCATGAGGACTCTGTAGTCAACAAGATTTATCATGTTTCAGCAAGTCTCATTAGAGGGATCAGCATATATATTACCTATAGATGGAAGTTTCTGTCCCACCCAGTCCTGTAGCTGTTGAGTACCAAATAAACACACAGAAGCTTATGTTAATTACAAACTATTTAGCATTTAGCCTATTGCTCAGGCTTATTATTAACTAGTACTTACAACTTAACCCATAATCTTTGTCTATGTTTAGCCATGTGGCTTGATACCTTTTCTCAGTGAGGCATTCTCATCTTGTTTCTTCTGCATCTCTGCCTTTCCTCTTTCCAGAATTCTCCTAGTCTGGTCACCCTGCATATACTTCTTGCCTGGCTACTGGCCAATCAGCATTTTATCAAGTCAATACACGTGACAAATGTTTACAGGGTACAAGAGCATTATCCCACAGCAGTCATCTGTTTTGTAGGTTTTTTTCCTCATGCCTGCAGCCAAGATCCTCAGGAAGTCTCCCCTGATCAATTCTGATCTTTATTAATTTTGAAGGAATCCATAGCTTTTCATTTCCTGTAACAACACACAACACAGCATATTTTCTGACTTCCATTCTGAAGTTAAGACATTTTTAAATACATAGGTTGGTTGATTTATCAGTTTCCATAATCCAATGAATCTCAGCAGCTGTTGTTTCTTGTTTATAAGCATTTGAAAAACTTAAAGTCAACAAACAGCATACAGGATCCAGGCACCCTGTGCATTTCCTTTACTTTCTTTAAAGACTGCATTTCATTATTTTTAAACTATTTATTATTCATGAATGTCTGGGCCCATTTTCTTTCCTTTCTTTACATCTAAGCACATTTTTAAGCACACTGCAATGTTCAGAGGTTTTCTCAGCCTGGACCTGACTTGATGTATGTCTTCAGAGTTTTTCTCACAGACTGAGCCCACTGTAACCAGCTAGGCTCTCTACTGAATGGCTAGCTCATCACATGGCCTAGTGGTTGGCTCTGCCCTCTTCAGCCTAACTGTCCCATCCACTCCTAACTGCCCTAGCTCTGAGAAGCTGCTATGTCCGGAATGAAGTAGGTGTTTTTACCCAGCATGCTGGCTACTCAAGCATTCTGCTGCATAGCAGGGCCTTTTAAAGGAGCAATATCTCTGTATGTCATGAGTGGTAAGCCTACCCAAAGAACTGAGGTCACCAGAAAGCTTTCTCAGGCCTTATGTGGATTTATGTGCTGGACATTGGGTGTCAAACGTTATCAGACATTCTTTGGATCACCAGCTCCCAAATAATGACACCAAGACTTATTATGAAATCATGGCCTTTGGTTTAGGCTTGTTTCCATTAGCTCTTATAACTTAATTAACCCATATTTTTTAATCTATGTTCTGCCACATGGCTCAGTTACTGCCCCTCAGCACAGCTCACCCGACTTGCTCCAAGTCTATTGGCATAATCTGTGTGACCAGATTCCTCCTCCTCTTCCTCTCTCTCCCCAGAAATCCTGCCTATTCTCTCCTGCTTAGCTATTGGCCATTCAACCCTTTATTAAACCAATCAGAAGGCATCTTGACAAAGACATATCCCCACAGTGTGTATAAAGATTATCCCATCATTCTTCCAGTTTAATTCAGTAGCTGCCTATGCTGTTCACTCCTGTGTGTGTCCATACTGTATGTCATTTCTTAAAGGTCTCAGGGATATAGAGCAGACTTCTCATTAATGCCATCTTTTTTCAAACATGTAGGTTTAGTGTTTCATCTGTGTGCCCACATGCCAGTCAAGCTGACACACAGTCAAATCATGATTTCTAATGAGTACCTCTTAGTCCACAGCCACCAATCCTCTTTGAAATGGCTGCTGGGAAAGCAGCATCAGAATTTGCCAGATTCTCTGACTATCCACGAAGACTAGCGGTCACTTCCTGGCATTCCTTTACTGCATGCTATGAAAGTGTAATGCCATACAAGCCAGACACAAAGTCTTGGGGGACTCTCATCGAGGTAGTCTTTATCTCTAGCTCAGGGCTCACCCACTGTGAAGTCAGCCAAAAGGCAGTGAGTCACTACAAAAGCTATGTAGACCTGGCTTTTCAAGGACAGATCTGTGCTCCACAGTTGTTACACATTATTTGGTGTGCCCCCTCTGTCGTGGTAGAGTTTGGGGGATAGGATAATGATCAAGGCAAAGCCCATGGAGAATAGGATATGGCTCCAGACTAGGAGGTCTCAGACTGGTGGGGAAGAAAAGAGATGCTGGGACACTGGTGGAGTCAGAGCTAAAGGTGCCATCGGAGAGCTGCGGTGTGTCGCTAGCGATCAGAGTGCTCTCGGTTGTCCAGAGTCACCAAGTAGGCATTAGAACAGGAAGACTTTGGAACTGAAAAACGCTTTCAAAAAGGGAGGTTACCAATGTGAGGGAGTGGGAGAAGCAAGGGTGATAGCGCAGAGCCAAGGCTAACCATCCTGGACCAAAAGGAGGTCAGTAGGCGATAGGGCTGGATGAGATAGGGCTGCTCTGACTACCTACGTGACAGCCGTAGATGAACAATGATCCTCCTGTGGCCCTGATAAGTGAATAAAGTTTTCCATAAAGAACATGGATTTGGTGACATCAAATTATAACAGAAAGACATTAAAGCAGATACTAGTCAGAAGACTATTAGCGTAACCCAGGCGTGGGTCCAATGAGCTGAAACAGAGCCTGAAAAACAGATCGGATACACCCCAGACACGCCCCGGACACGCCCCAGGCACAACACAGGTGAAAGATTTAATGTCTACTTCATAAATGAAGGTACGTCTTGTAGTTTATTTGGAAATCTGTCCATTGCTGGTGCACCCACGGCAACTTGCCAATCATTTCAGTGTAGAAGATGAAAGAAGGTTGGTAAGACGGCTCAGACTTGAGAGCAGCGGGGAGGGAGTCGCTGGCTTCCAGCTGCAGGTGGGACCCCCCAGGTCACCCCGGCTGTCCTCGGGGCCATGGTGCAATGGTACAGCTGAGACTTTAGGCGACCTCCAGGTGAGCGGCGACTGTGCCCGGGTGCATGCCGGTTAGCGGGCGAGGATGCAGCCCGCACCTGCGAGCATCCCGAGCGAGCCACAACCACAGCGCGACTCAAGGACGTGGTGCCAGCTGCTGCTGAATTTTCCCCTGTAAAGAGCCAGAGGAAGAAAAACAAACAAACAAACAAAACAAAAAAACCAAAAACAAAACCAAGAAGAGAACGAACCAAAATCTCGGCTTGGTTCGTTTTTTGAGCTGTTCAAAACTAAATTGTTTATGACAATGCCCTGCGTCTGTAATCGAAACAACTGGAGGCGATGGATCCGACCCCTGCTCGTACTTATTTACATAATTTCCATCCTCATCTTGGTTCCCTTGTGTGTTTGGGAACTTCAAAAACTAAAGGTTGGAATACACACTAAAGCATGGTTTATCGCTGGTATCTTTCTGCTGTTGACCATCCCTGTGTCCCTTTGGGGGATTCTGCAGCACTTAGTGCATTACAATGTGATGCTGCACCTGGAAGCTAAAGATCAGCAACAGCTTCTCCTCCTCTGTGCTGCTGTCCACCCTGGGCTATGGGAGAAATGCAGCTTTTTCGGTGCAGGAGTATTGCAATACACTGTGATCAGACCGATCACCACTGTGACGGCGTTGGTGAGATTGTTGGTGTCTACGATGAAGGGAACTTTAGTTTCTTCAATGCTTGGACTTACTTGGTTATATTAAATAACCTGTCACAACTGTTTGCCATGTTTGCCTCCTGCTGTTTTACAAAGTGCTGAGAGAAGAGCTCAGCCCTATACAACCTGTTGGCAAATTTTTGTGTCAAACTGATAGTCTTTGTCTCATTCTGGCAAGCCGTGTTTATAGCTCTGTTAGTGAAGGTTGGCATTATTTCAGAAAAGCACACGTGGGAATGGCAAAGTGCCGAAGCTGTGGCTGCAGGCCCGCAGGATTTTATCATCTGCATCGAAATCTCCTTCCCGGCAACTGCCCATCATTATTCGTTCTCCTATAAACCCTACGTGAAAGAGGCAGGGGAAGGCTCGCGCTTTGACTCCTTCCTCGCCATGTGGGATGTGTCAGATATCAGAGATGATATTTCTGAGCAAGTAAGACGTGTCGGGAGAACAATGCGAGGTTATCCCCCCAAGAAAGTGTTTTCCCGAAGACTCAGAGCATCCTGAACACACAAGTCAGCTTTCCTCATCACCACGCGATGCAGGTTCTCCAGGGTCAAAGTCATCCTCACCCCTGGGCCAGTATCAGGGCTTTGAACACACGATTACTCCCCAGAATGCAGCTGTTGCATCCAAGCTGTGTGAAGACATCATGATTGATATCCCAGAAGAGCAGGGGCCTCCTGATGATGCAGGCCAGTATCCAGACTTGGAAGATACAGTTTCTTCAGAGGGCACACTCTCTGCAGACCAGCTGTCTGAAGATGCTATGAATGACATCCCAGACGAGCAGAAGGAGCTCCTAGGAAGTTGTCACAGTCCTCTTTGTGTGTAGGCTCAAGATCTGAGAGTTCAAAATGGTGGAAAATTTCAAAGATAGGCAAAAGTCAGCTATAACTACTATATAATAAACACACATATAATACTAATACATATATGTTAGTATATATATTTGTATATGTTTTTATACCACAGATAACATTTGAATTTCCTAGGTTTTGGCTTTCTTAAACGGTTAGGGTATCATATATTCAAGTAGTAGGTAACAACTTCAGCTGAATGCTCTTGCATTTCTCAAGAGGATGGACATTTGGAAAAAAAATCAAAAAATCAGTGCTTCTTACCACTGCAGAATGTAATGCTCTGGACTGAAAATGTAAATATACAATTCATATTAATTTAATTTCATCATAATCATGTGCCATTTAAGTTTACATAATTATACTTCAATTACATGTCTTTCAATAAATCCAATACTGTTTTTTGGAAAAAAAAAAAAAAAAAAGATGGCTCAGACTTGAAGACCTGAGTGATTCCTAGAACCTCCATGGTGGAAGGAGAACCAAAATGTCAATTGTCCCTGAACTAAATACACACACACACACACACACACACACACACACACACAATGCAATTTAAACACTTTTAAATTCAATAAAGAATTTGAGACTTTTTTTCTGAACATTTGGGAGCAAATTCTTAATATCTCCCATTCAGTGTTTTTAAATGTAGTACAGAGATTACGGTGGGACTGAGAAGATGAACCATTTTTGATAATTTTGCCATCAGTCTGAGGTGTTGTCAAGTTAAGAGTTCAACGCCAGCCCAGTAACAGCTGCCTAACACTCTTATCAGCATCTCTGTTACACAGTGCAGTCTTTACTTCCACTTCTAATCAAGGGGAACGAGCCAGGCTGAGCAACGTCTTGAAGCTGCTCACTTAGTAAGAACATCTTCCTACTTCAAAGCCTATTCTTCCCCCAACTGAAGAATATCTGGTGCCTCCCAGCAAAAGGATTAAAGTCTTAAGTGGTGTTCTCTGCAGAGGATCAGAATTTTAGAATATGCAGGGTGTGGTGGCTGCCCAGGTCTTTAATCTCAGCACTTAGGAGGCAGGGGCACACCAATCTCTGAGTTCAAGGCCAGTCTGGTAACAGAGCTAGTGCCAGGACAGCAAGGACTACACAGAGCAACCCTGCTTAAAAAAAAAAAAAAGTAAAGAGAATTTGAGTTTGAGGGTGCAGGTTGATGAGTCCTGGCATTTCCTTAATGTAACAAGTTAAGTCTTTATTTAAGGGCTAGAAGAACAGTTTGCAATTTTCTTCCATTGGTGGGCTGGACAGACAATAACAATGATTTAATGGCAAAGGCCATTAAATTTATGTGGAGGCCAGCACAGATTGGAAGAACTACAAGGTGAATTCTTTAAGCGCCAGAGAACGGAGTGTTTTGTTTTGTTTTGTTTGTTTTTTAAGCACAACATAAAAGACACCTCCTTGGGCCTCAGGTGCCTAAGTATGCCACCAAAAGACAGCTTGGTTCTCAAACTCTCAAACAACGTTTTTTCCTGATTCCTCTAGAACTTACTCTTTACGTAGACTATCAAAGCCAGCGGGATAGTAGATGTCCCAAAATGTCTTAATTCAGAGAATTAGTGTTAACTGAACCTGATTAGCTTCATTTATCTCTAATTAATTACCTTTATCTAATTAGACACTTTGTTTCCAGTAGACATGGAGTCAAGCAGACTAGATTATTAGTGCAGTCACTGTCCCTTTACAAAATCTGAAATTAATGAAACGTGCAAAAGAATCTGCAGTTCTAATTGCACAGGTGCTGCCTTATGGCAAAGCTTGATCATCTGATTACACCAAGGGATTATTAGTGACTTTTATATAGAGGACAAGCCTATGAAATGCACCTTAGCAACAGCTCATTAGTTTAAGGTTGTTACTGTATTATTTATTACATTCAGCCTTCCCCATTATCTAGATTGATTCATGAACCAATATATTTTTCTCTCCTCTGTGCAGAAAAAATAAAATAAAATAAAGCCATCATTACAAAGAGTCCAGATGCAACGTTGAACAATGCAAAACCACATTTGCTCATCGGCTACAAGCTGATTCTCAGCGACAAAAGAGCTCTAAAGTTAGATGCAATAAGAAGCAAGTTTATGGTTGTTTTCTACAGGAAACTACTGAGTAATACGGGAGAACGAGCACATTTGTTTCAGACAATATGTGGCTCTCTCAATGTTTTCACCTAAATGAGCTGACATATCAAGGTATGTGGAAGGGAAAAAGCATTTTTTTACATTAAAATATACTTGTTTTTATTTTCTTTCTGTGTCTTTCCAAAATAGATTGATAAAACATAATCCCTATATATGTGCATCACAATATGTATAAAATCCTTCTTATAGCTCGATTTTGATGATAAATGGAGAAGACTAACAAATTATATAATCTGGTTTAGCTGAAAACAGCAAAATTTCAGTGTCCGCTTCTAAAATTGAGAAGTGCTTTTTCATGGCCAAGTCAGGTGTGCCTGGACGACGGGCATGTCTCAGCCTGCAGGTCTGCATGCCTCTTCTCACACCTGAAGAAGCTCTGTTTCTTGCCATCATGGAGCAACCAAGCAGCTAGAAGTAAATCCTGCCACAATCCCATCCCAACACATAAACATGTCTATAGATGATACAGTAATTCCTTTGAATAATTTGTCAACGTAAGTGTGTCAAATGAGGTTTTAAAACCTCTCCTCTCCCTGCTGCCCAGCCCCACTGCTCTGAGCCTACCCTGCTGTTCACTCATTGCTGAATCTAAACAGCGAAATGATAACGGGTAACTGTGATGTGGCATGACGGCTAATTTGAGGAGTAATAATGAATATTTAATGACCCTCCTTTGAAGCATGAACATATAACTTTTCATCTGTGCCTTACTAAAATTATAACTATTAATCTAAAAATCATTGTTGTAACAGAAATAATAGCCAAGAATTATAGATGGTAGCCAAGTCAGGACACTGCACAAATATTCTATATAAATAAGATGCATGTGGAAGTCTGCAGCCTTCTGTTCTCACTCAGCCCCAAGACCTTGCTTGGAAAACTACAGTTGTGTGGTTAGTGGGTGCACGAAGTCTGAGTCTGGGTACAAAAGGCCAGTACTTTAATCAAGAAATGGGCATGACAACCAACAACATTTTTACTCCTCCTTGGATGTTGTTGGCATTCACAATGTCTAAATAAAAACAACATGTGTGTAGAAATGTGATTTCTACAGAGGAAGTATTGTTAGTTTGTCCACCTAAATCAAAGAAAGGGCAAACAAAATTTATCAGAAAGGTAGAAATTTTATACCTTAAGTTTCATTTTTTAAAAAAACATGGGTAGTTTTTCTCAGTCTGTCTCTATAGAAATCACAGTGTGACTTTGAGAAGAAGAAAATCAGGAAATGCGTGAAGCTCCTTAAAATGGGCTTTGTGCATTGATGGAAATGTTTTTAATTACACTTCTAAGTTACATCAACCCTGGTATCTCCATAGACTTGAATAATTTCATATGCCTGAAATGTTGCAGAGAAACACATCCCTCTCCCTTGCTGGTTAGATCTGCTCTCATTTCCCAGGGGACATGAAAACCAGTGCTTCCATGGTTGCAAACCTGTAATTCTACAGCGACTCTTACACATGTTATTCATGTTTTTAAAAGTTTGGTGTATGCTCACAAAATTCAAGGCGGAAATGGTTTAATAATGAGAGGAAAGTACCAAGAAAAACCTGAAGTTCCTCCCTTTGTGATCTTTAACAGACATGAAGTGTCTAACTGGGGTGGTCATACCTTTGATTCTAGTACTATTGTGGGACTAAGCAGGGGGACCAGAGTTCAAGGCCAGTCTGGGTTACACAGTGACACTTTGTCAAAGGGCACAAGGTGGAAAGAGAGGGGAGGGGAGGAGAAGGGAATGGAGGGGAGTGAGGGAGAGAAATAAATTCAGAGTCTAGCTGGATGGTGCACGGTGCTGGATACCCAGGCCATCAGCATGGTTCTGCCTCTTCAGGACTCCAGTTTAAAGGCCAAGGTAAGTGTGTTGAGACACAGTTTCCAACTGTGCACAGTCACTGAATACACTCCTAGCAGAGCAGGTGTTTCAGCCAAAACCAGGGCAAGGACAAAGGAGAAAAGCAGTTGTGGATCTCCCCGCAGAAGACAAGGTGCTTCAGATGTTAGATGGCAACATCCTCAGGTACGAGGACTCCTTAGGAAGCTTCATTTCCTCGCCTCAGCGGCCTCGCTATGGCTTTCACTCAGATGTGGTCTTTGTCTCTCCTTAGTTCTCTGGCCTGTCGTGCCGGGCTTCTCTCCATAGCAGACATTTATAACAGAAATCTACACTGGTTAATTATACACAAAATCAACAGTTTATTTTGTTATGTGGCATACACAGACCATACATTGGTAATGAACATATGTTCGAATATTGAGAAACATTATCTTTCCATTCACTCCGTTTTTGTGGCTATTTTACCCATCAAATTTCAGTGGAGGAGCTTTGGGTTAAATTCCCTAGCACCTCTAGTCCTGAACAAACACAGAGCAGGGTGGAGGGTGCAAGAAGAAATGGCACAGACAACGGAGGACAACAAGGCTTTTGTTTTTAAGAGATGGGAAGCACGCTTGTGGGCAGTGAGAGAGTGAAGCTGCGGTTGGCGGTGTCTGAACACACACGGAACAGTAATACTGTTAAAGCTGTGTGCATTTATCAGGCTGGTGGGGAAATGTGCAGGGTAGGCCCACAGAATGAACACACGGAACCTAATGTGCTCACAGACCGTCCTGTTGGAAAAGTTGTCTGCTGAGTAGCGCAGCCTCTTCCTGCTCGTGGGCCTGAGGTGCCTGCGATCGGCTCCTCGGCAGCACGGTGGGGTGGTGACTAATTGCCCCCGTAAATCACCGAGCACCACTGTGCTGCTCCGTTTATTTTTCTGACAGTAATTTAGTGCTTGCTCTTTCCCACACTTGTCGTCCTGTGTTTTTCCTCACGTTAGAAGCCTGCAGAAGAAGGACAGTAATTAACGGAGCCGTGCGTGCTCGTGGAAACTCCTTCATCATATTGTGATAATTGTGTTCCTTGTCTGTCAGGAGGCCTCTCAGCTTCCCAGCTTCTCGCAGCACTATTTGTCAACTCGAAGCTGAAGACACGAAGATCTGAGTGGACGTTAGGAGCACCCAGCCAGCTTTCCGTCTGTCCTCAGAGGAGGCCATCACACTAGCGATGTGTCCAAGTTTTCAGTGTGATCCACACACCCAGGATCCACCTGGATTCTCTGTTATTAGTAGGGTCTGCGGATGGGCAGTTGGAGTACTGGGGCGAAGAGAG